GTCCAATCATCTTCCTCTATAAGTGAATTGTCAGTAGGATTGTCACGCTGCAGTTCCCACAGATGTTAGTAACCTAGATTACTGTACTCACCGTCCAATCATCTTCCTCTATAAGTGAATTGTCAGTACGATTGTCACGCTGCAGTTCCCACAGATGTTAGTAACCTAGATTACTGTACTCACCGTCCAATCATCTTCCTCTATAAGTGAATTGTCAGTACAATTGTCACGCTGCAGTCCCACAGCTGGTAATAACCTAGATTACTGTACTCAGCGTCCAATCATCTTCCTCTTTAAGTGAATTGTCAGTACAACTGTCACACTGTAGTCCCACAGATGGTAGTAACCTAGATAACTGTCCTCACTGTCCAATCATCTTCCTCTCTAAGTGAATTGTCAGTACAACTGCCACACTGCAGTCCCACAGATGGTAGTAACCTAGAGTACTGTACTCGCTGTCCAATCATCTTCCTCTTTAAGTGAATTGTCAGTACAACTGTCACACTGTAGTCCCACAGATGGTAGTAACCTAGATAACTGTACTCACCGTCCAATGAAAGACTCATCCATATACGGTACAAAGCATATATCAAACGATAATTCAATAAGTATCAGATTTTTAAAATTTTACAGGTTTATTTATTTTTTTCATAAATAATGACATAACAAACATAAAAACAAAGAAACACACACTAATCATTCTGTTCAATAATAATATATATATATATTTCATCCTAAAACAGCTTGTGTCGCATGAAATTTTATCGTGTTTCATTATAACAGTGTGTCTGATATCTATAGAAACATGGCAGTAAACACCAGTGTGTTTACATTAAAACATTTAAGACTTTCAAGGTTACCTTTGACCGTAATATAAAGTTAGTGTTTAGTGGTGCAAGCAGAGCATTAAGTCAGAACTGGGACAAGTGGATGAGCTAATAAGAATGCATCTTCTATAAAGCGTTACCAACAAGAGGCCATTTTTCTTGGACTGGGGCGAGTTTGAACCGGACAAGGTGAAATGGAAGCAATACTTCACAGTTTTACTTGTGAAGAGGTGTCGCTTCCTGTAAATGTGTTAGCACAATAAACGACTATAAATGCGAGGGTAAAAATTTCTGTACATAAATTAAACACAGCTTTGGCAAATTAATTCGCCTCCTCCAACTGAACAACGGAGGACAAAACAAATGCCATAAATATAATAATGTCATCTTAGCCTAGTGTCAAATGATATCAAAACTACCGGTAACCTATGTGTGAAATGCAAGTAATTAATGTGAAAAAATACACTGTATTTGTATTCATACTGTAAATACACAGGCAATACACACTGTACTGAACCATGTATGTTTTGCTGTATCTTGAAGTATATTAAACATGAAACGATTGCCATATATTTATAGTCACAGTTTTCATGATACTGTCAAAAAGGTGTGTGAAAATATATGCTATTTTTTAGTTCACATATTGGTCACAGAAATTGTAAGGAGAGCTTGAAAACTGAAAATTAAAGATTCTTTTATGTTTTACATTAGTTTCCATATTCAATAATTCCTGAATATTATTGATTTTAATAAATATTGAAATATTGAAAGTATGACATGTGGTACAATCAGCATCAGCTACAGAATACATACACACGTACATGTAATCTCATATCATCCAGCACTGAAAACATGAAAATACATGTTTTCTTTTTAAAGTAAACAGTTAATAACTCACAGCAGTGTCCATGTAAAAAAAACTGTGAACTGTGATATTTCCAACCCCAACCCCCCCAAATTATCTCCCTTGGGTATTTTGAAAAAAATGTCCAGTGAAGAATTTGTCCTCATAATGCTTTATAACTGTATCTATCATAATATTAAAAAGTCAACAGTATTAAAATCAGAAGCACATAGAGGTTTGCAATCAATAACCGGAAGGCAATTTGCTCTTTTGCTGTCCGAGTATCATTTCCTGTTCTTCTTCTAATTCCCCATTACCTATAGGTATTTCTTCTTTCTAGCATAAGCACACTCCAACTAGAACCTTCAGCTTGATGAAGGTGGTCAGTATTTTACATATGTAAATTACTGTGATCATGTAATCCTATATAGCCTTGACCCTTTCACCCCTATGTAACTTTAGTAGACTATATCATGCATTGATATGGATGAGTCCATTGTGGTCTACAGTGGTGAAAGGGGGTAACCGTTAAGTACCACTGATGAGTCCTAAATGTACTTTGTTTGGCTTTCCTTATCAACTGACTAAACTTTCAAACACCAGTAAGTGCTTATTTATCACATAATATATAATGTACTGTGTTATCCAGTGAATATACCCATGTCATATTTTGTTACGTATAAACCCATGTAATATGACCTATCAGCCCTGTGATTGGTTGTAAGTTTCAATTGTTTCAATTGTGACGTCATGCCTAGGACAAGTACATGACGTCACAGACTTATGCACTGGAGTCAAAATGGCAGCTTTCTACATTTCAAGATTGCATGAAAATTGTCGTTTTACACGAATAAACCAAAAGTCTTGATAATGTGAAAAAAAAAAGGTTCTTATACTCGTTTACATTTCAAATGAAATTTATGAAACTCGTCACGAATTTTTCATTTTAGCGAGCCTCTGAAAAATTCTTAGACTCGTTTCATAAATCTCACATGTAATGGAAACTCATGCAAGATCCTATATATATATGAATATTTAATACACACTGTGCGCTAGGCACAAGGAGATGCCAAGGGAACTTTCATTGTATTTCAAATTGATAATTGCAAAAACATTTCATATTTGACAAGAAAGTAAATTCTATTTGCTAATATAAATTCAATCTGTATACTGCAAACTTTCAGTACTATACATAACAATGGTAAGGACAGTTCTAACAAATCATATCATGATGAAATTATCCGTGAATAAAAAGAAATGTGTATCAGATCTTTTTAAGTTTGATACAGATGGTAATAGGCTGTTTTTATTGTGTTAGCATCACACAAAAGTGTCCCTGCCTCGACACTTTTCACATACAATTGAGATTGTCTTGAACTTTCAGGATTGTGTCACAAGTGATTGGCAAATCAATCTTGTTGCCTGGATATTGTACCAGCGTCCAATCAGAAACTTTCACTTGCAATATTGGCACAAAAACCGGAGCTTTTGTCCCAAGAATGTCATGCCAAGCTATATCACTAGTCGGTCTAGTAATCGGGGATTCTTGCCCACCGACCAGAACCAACATCGCCGACTGTAAGATGAGATCTCTTTGGAACAATAACCATACTTTCACAAGTTGATACTGGCACATTGCTGAACAGGTCACACATGACAACACGTCACATTTCTGTTTACGATCTGTCCTAGTTACGCAGCCTCTTGAGAACCGTCACCTTGGTCACCGTCTGCGCCTGCGACCTGATGTATGTAGACCTGCTGTTGTCCTCCTGCTAGTTGTTGGATCTGGTACACTTGCTACAAACAAGAAAATTTGGTTATTACTAGGTGCATACTTTAAGTTTTAAAAGTACAGATACAAAATTGTTAAAGATGTTTTGTTATATCATTGCAATACGAAGTAAAATTAAACAAGCAAGTATCTCAAATCTTATTTAATAACAATATAAATAAATAAAAATATACAACATTTGATATAGCGCCCTATATAGCTAACATAAGCCACTCTAAAGCGCTTTACAGTACATAGATATACAATTTTATACAGTCAATATGATTAGCATATATAATAATCAATACAATTTTGAGGAATTCGCAGGAGCTGCCTTATCAGACACCAACTACTAGTCCTATGCCACCTGGATAATATCTCCCTATGTGTGTATGCATGTGTGTGTGCTGGAGATATATTGTGTTCTGTTTGTAGTGGGACCATGCTTCCAACGGTATCGTTTATAGTGGCACCTCAAAAACACTTTCTCTGAATATTCCATGCGTACGGCGACTTCGGGGATTGAACCCGACCGACTGCTTGGAAGGTCGGAGTGTTAACCACTCGACCAATCTGCCCACAATATTTTAACAATACTTTTTCCTGATTCTGGGAGATACTTTCTAACTTTCTATTTAGTAATAGCCATTTTTTAATCATAAGGACCCATGACCTATGGCTCAAGAGCGTCTTTTTTCCAACATTGATTGTACAATATAGGTGCTACTTAGGTAAAAAGAGTATCTCCAGTAATTTTGTTTCTTTAACTGCTGAAAAATATGGTCTTTCCTTGCTAAAAGTGCTAGCCAAACTTTTGAACTGAACATTAACTATTTATGTATGGTTGGTCTGTGAAACATTTGCACATGTCTGATCTTACTTGTGCATTGAACTGTGATTGGTCGGCTTGTGAGATGGTCTGCACATTTTGAATGGCTGGCTGGGCTGCCTGCTGGATTATGATTGGCTGGTTGGATTGTTTACCCTGGAGCTGCATCTGTATGGCCTGTAGTTGTTGCGGGGTCAGTTGAATCTGCAATTAATAACATACACAGCTTTATATTAAAGAACTTTGTATTTAGCCAGAATGAAAATATTAATCTTTTTGATGCAAACAATGACATTACACTCATACTCAAGACACTAGAAAAGAATTGAAATTGTATGATCAGTTTAGCATATAGTGAACAAATCCTTGTTATTTCTTATTTCTTTCAGATAGGTTCTGGACCAAACCACTTTACTCAAAGAAAGGTTCATGACTACCCAACGTGATGTTAGTTGTACTAGTCTATCTATACTTACAGGTAAGTTCTGGACTGGCCCAATATTCTAACAGCTAAGTTTTTGACCGACCGACTATATTTACAGGTCTATCCTGGACCAGCTTACTATACTTATGTTTTGGACTTTATATACTTACAGGTAAGTTCTGGACTGGCCCAATATTCTAACAGCTAAGTTTTTGACCAACCGACTATATTTACAGGTCTATCCTGGACCAGCTTACTATACTTATGTTTTGGACTTTATATACTTACAGGTAAGTTCTGGACTGGCCCAATATTCTAACAGCTAAGTTTTTGACCAACCGACTATATTTACAGGTCTATCCTGGACCAGCTTACTATACTTATGTTTTGGACTTTATATACTTACAGGTAAGTTCTGGACTGGCCCAATATTCTAACAGCTAAGTTTTTGACCAACCGACTATATTTACAGGTCTATCCTGGACCAGCTTACTATACTTATGTTTTGGACTTTATATACTTACAGGTAAGTTCTGGACTGGCCCAATATTCTAACAGCTAAGTTTTTGACCAACCGACTATATTTACAGGTGTATCCTGGACCAGCTTACTATACTTATGTTTTGGACTTTATATACTTACAGGTAAGTTCTGGACTGGCCCAATATTCTAACAGCTAAGTTTTTGACCAACCGACTATATTTACAGGTGTATCCTGGACCAGCTTACTATACTTATGTTTTGGACTTTATATACTTACAGGTAAGTTCTGGACTGGCCCAATATTCTAACAGCTAAGTTTTTGACCAACCGACTATATTTACAGGTCTATCCTGGACCAGCTTACTATACTTATGTTTTGGACTTTATATACTTACAGGTAAGTTCTGGACTGGCCCAATATTCTAACAGCTAAGTTTTGGACCAGCCCACTATTCTTACAGGTAAGTTTTTGACCAACCGACTATATTTCCAGGTCTATCCTGGACCAGCTTACTATACTTATGTTTTGGACTTTATCTACTTACAGGTATGTTCTGGACCTCCCCCGAAGAGGTGATCACCTGTTGGTACACCTGTGTCTGTTGCTGTGGTTGCTGGATTTGCACCTGCTGCAGTGTCTGTGGGACTGGGGTGGCAGCTGTAGAAGATGGCACCTGGACCTGTGCCACCTGCTGGACCTGGGGCGGAGCCTGGATTTGTATCACCTGGGGCTGTGGCTGTAATAACAAAATACTAGGTTAACACTGTAGTACACAATAATATCTGACAGAGACTGAGGGATTAATATCGGTTTTAAAAATTGTTCATAACAGTCGCAAAGTTTGTTTGGATCCAGTACTCATATTGGATCATATCGTTGTTATTACTTAAAATAATAAAAATGATAATTCCAGGTTCTTATATACCACTTTATCACAACTTAATTTGTAAGTCGACTCATAGCGTTTCACAAATCATTATCTGTGAATATAGGGCCTTTGCAACCAGCCAATATTTTAACTTCCTGGGGAGCATACAGTCATTGCTGCCATTTCGGCGCTCACAGCCAGCATTTAACAATCCTAGCACTGCCAAACCACGTACTCATTTACAGCTGAGTAGACTGGAACAAGCGGAGAAAAGTATCTTGCTCAAAGATACAACACAGTGCTGTGACTCGAACCTGCAACCCCTTTGGTCACAAGCCTGGTGTTCTACCACTAGAATACTGTGCCTCTGTATGAGACCTATATAAAATAAATGTATTTAAAAGTTTCCATTGTAAACAGGTACGGATTCAGACTTGACTTACTGTGCTGGAGACTACTGTGGCTCCCTGTAAAGCAGTCTGCGCCTGAACTTGTCCCGCCTGTATTTGACCTGCTTGTACTTGGAACTGTTGTTGCAGAAGCTGATTTCCTGTATAAAGATGGGAGATCAAAGTATAAGTACATTTGACACTGCAAATGAGCTGCCATATGAAAAATATCATCTAATCACTAGTATTGTTAATATTTTCAATACATCTCAATATATCCCTGCTGATAATGCATTTAATATTTGGATACGTTTTCCTTGTTTATCCATACTTCCAGATTAAGAAGAATTTCTGGTGTATTTTAGTATTTTAATTTTGTAACACCACAGCTTTTTATACGCCCGTCAAATTTGACGTTAGTATTATGGTATGGGGTTGTTCGTCCGGCTTAAACTTTTGTTTGTCCGGCAATCTCTTCACATTTTTTTTTGACTGATCTCTTTGAAACTTGGTATACATTATAATCATGATATGAAGTTGTCTCTCCCTTAAATGAATTTTGATTCAACATTTTTTCCAAAAGTAATTGCCCTTTGTTTATTTCAGTATTTGATTTTTTTGTCTGACAACCTCCTACATTTTTTGATGGATTTCTTTGAAACTTAATAGAATAAATAATCATGATATGTTGTTGTGTTTCCTTGAAACGAATTTTGATTCAACAGTTTTTGCAAAAGTTATTGCCCTTTGTTTATTACAGTATTTGATTTTTGTCCGGCAATCTCCTCCTACATTTTTCAACAGTTCTCTTTGAAACTTTGTATTTATTATAATCATGATATGAAGTTGTGTTTCCCTTAAAAGAATTTTGATTCAACGATTTTTGTAAAAGTAATTGCCTATTGTTCATTTCAGTATTTGATTTTTTGTCTGGAGATTTTCTTCTACATTTTTTATAGCATGTCTGATCTTATTTCAATGTAAGGAAGTATATAACACTATATGGCATTCGACGGGCGTATATTGTTCCGCCCCGAGGTACTCTTGTTCTTTTTGAAACACACCCAATTCATGACAGTTGTATATTTTTCAAAGATCAGCAAAGAAGCATAAATCATCACTAAAGAAAACTAAAAAATGCCTGTAAAACGTTTTCGTGGATGGCCCTGTTGTTGACCTATAAATTGCAACAGTGAATTTGGCACTCAAGAATACAAACATATTCAAGGTATTCTCAAACTTGACCTTTGTATAAACTTTGATGAAAATTTGTTAAGGAATTAAGTTGGCAGAGTTGTTAAAATCATCACAAGGAGATGGAATTAGTCGGAACATAAGGGAAGTAATACGAAGGCCATGGGATACCCAATGGGACAGTATAGACATGGGTAAGTATACCCCCCCCCCCCCCCCCCCCGCAATTACTATTTGTAGTATACCTTTTTTACATTTAGTCAGTATGTATCCTCGATTAAAGGTCCTACATCATACCAATATTATACTTGGTCCTTCCTTTCAACATCAATAAAAGAAAAGAAGGTTTAAATGAAAATGACACAACAATGTAAAACAAGACTAATTCTCTACCTGGTAGTTGGATCTGGGTGGCTTGGGGTTGTTGCTGAACAACAGCAGTGGCCTGGACTTGTGTCGTTGCCTGTTGTTGCTGTGCCTGTTGTTGTGCTTGTTGCTGTGCCTGTTGTTGTGCTTGTTGCTGTGCCTGCTGCTGCTGCTGCTGCTGCTGTTGTTGTTGTTGCTGCTGCTGCTGTTGTTGCTGGGCCTGTTGCTGTGCCAACTGTAAATAGTACTGGATCTGGTCTGGTAGCCCTGACGATGCCCTCCCACTTTCCTCCTGTTGATTCAAACATGATAAATCATAAAATCATAATGATTATTGTTGAATGCTAAGTGTCATAAGTTCCGTCGAATAGTCATTGAATACTAGCCAGAAACCAAACTCACCAGATGAAGAGACTGTAATTTTTTTCATCACAGTTTCAAACTTTTACCAAAGTTTCCTCAACAGATAAACTGAGAGTAACAGGGGAAACAATTGCCATGCATCATGATGTCACCATGGAAGATGACACCAAAATTATTAGTACATGATGTTGTAGTGAAAAGATTGACCAATCAAATTTTATCCAGGGTGTTTCCCACTAGTAGGTACACAAAAATGATTATAGGCACACTCCTAGCAGGTTTATCCAATGATTCGGGGGTGGGTAAACCTATAGTGTTTGTAGGAAAAATACATTATAAAGTTAAGAAAAGTCAAGATTATTATTCACTATATAGTAATGAATAAATTAACTTGACTTCGTAAAATCTCAGAAACCCCTGCCAGCCAAGAACATGTACATAGACTAGTGTGTCTTAAAACAATAAAAACAACAGTTTACCGGACGTTTGGCTGGTTTCAGTTCATCCCTTGGTACAATGTCGATCAGGAAATCAAACTGGTCAAATTTGGTTATTGCCATGGCGATGTCATTCCTCTGTAAAATATTAAACACACAAATAGTCAGGGGTATTGAATTATATATTTAGAGTACTAGCCAAAAGATTTTGAAAACATACAAGCATATCCACAACCTCTAGTTACAAATGAATAACAAATAAATAACATATCTATAATCAAAAGTAACCTAGTTAAGTATAATAAGTATATCTGTAATCTATATAGTTACAATGGTGTCAGGTCGTTTCACCCTAAATCCTGTTCGACTGAGTGTTCGCCTAAGGTCGTTTTGCGCTATGTAGTTTTGCCCTTTTACTGTAGAAAAGTATAGGCCTGTTTAGTTGTATACAATACAATCTCATTTGAAGTTTTTGTTAGTATTTCTTGGTCTTTTTTTGTAATAAGACGTGTTAGACTTTTAGACTTAAACATGGTCAATCTGCAGATCTGCGCATAAATATACACCTAAAATTCTTACGACAACACAATTGCTCATGTTGAATGATAAACAGTACATTTTTTAAGCATTAAAAACATTTGAACTCATATATACACATATATAAGTTAAAAACATATACATTATTTGTATTAGGGCCAAAAGAATGTAATGGAAATAGGATTTCGAATGAAATGACCTGGATCCAGTAACAAGTACATGTATAATTACATGTAGTAATATCATAGTCCTCTAACCACAACCTACAGAGCCCGTGAGATTTTTATATGTCTGATATATCAAAAAGTTTTCAGGCACACTCATTTCAATAAAGTTCCGCGTAAAACGGCATGATGATATTCTTGAAATTCAGACCTTTCCTTAATAACAGCTGTTATTCTATTCAAGAACTGACATTCTACTTTTAAAATTCAATTAAAGTGTAAAAGACAGAAGTAAAAGACATTTTTTTTTGTAAATTACAACTAACATCATCCTATTATGGTTATAAGGCAGACAATAATTTATAAGTCACCTGAAGTGTCCTTCTCTTGTTGTCCTCTGTGTGGATCCACGCTCGTAATGACAATTCACTGATGAATATTTCTGCTGCCTTGGCAAAAAGTACCGGGGCTTCTGCACTGATCATCTGTGGAGGCACAACATAAGGCATTTCAATTATTTCTGCAGTGTAAGGGAGATAACTCCCTCATTATTTATACCTAACATCCTAAAATTAAACGTCCTGTCCTTGTCAGTTATAATTACTGAAAATATTTTACGAATGTCTGTTCATCAGCTACACTCAGAGCTAAGGTTTAAAATGATAGACAGGTTGATATATAGGTAATGTGGGGAATTAGGATAACAAATAAGTGCCTCCCTGCCCATCTCCATATAAAATATATTCATTTATTATATAGAAAATCCTTTACAAACAGGTAGTACCATTTTATGATGCTCTGGTATGAGTTGACATCATGGTTGATAAAATTTGTTTCAATAGTAAACAAAAGATGTCTGTTGGGATATCCTCTAGAGCAGATATACATACAGTAAAAAAGTCTAACCTTTTTAGTGACATGACTGAATAAAAAAAAGGCAGACCTTATTGACAGACAGGTGGTTGGTATAAACAGGTGACCTGGTTTGGGTGCAGACTCACCTTAACATCCTCGTCCAGTTTCATTATCTTCTTAATTCTTGCGAGAGGAAGTTCTTGTTGCTTAAAGTCATCCTGTAAGGAAGTGGTAGCTATCATTTAGCTTGTTGGGATTATATCTGTATCATATGCATGACAACTTGACAAGTTACTTGTTCATCTATCAGCCCGGTCTTATCTTAACAACTGTTGTCCACATAGCATATAGACAAAGACTTAAAAGTACAGATGATACCAGTAACTTTATTATCATGGTACAATGTCGCCATGCATGGCTCGATCATCCTATTTATTTCTTTTTGGTGTATTTTATTGACAAGATAGTTAAATGTTGAATTTTGCCTGTAAGTTGAACTGTATTCTAATAATTGCACTGGTGTATGAAACATTATTGAATACAATCAATATCTGACTATCAATAAGTATTTAGATAGAATGGTGGCTACGACTCTGTATTTAATCAGGAAGCTGTCGGGATCATTTTTCTATTTGGAAAAGAAGCCACTAAATCCTACTATGACCCATCTACGTTATCTTTGTAAAGTTAACACAAAGGATTATGTAAATCTGACCATTTTCAGATTGCGGATGTCCTGCATGGCTTTTGGCCAGAACTGTGTCAGCATCTGGGCGGCTTCTCCGCTGACCGCCACCGACCCTGCCCCAGGGGACTGACTAGCTGGGGACTGAAATGTAGGTTCAACAGACATCTCTCTGAAATATAAAAGATATATTTTTGAAATTTCACTAATTCTGAGTTTAAAAAAAATAAATCACGAATCAATATTCAATAAATACCAACAATGAAAGTAGAATTCTAGAATCATAAAAAAAGATTTAGTCTGGGTACATATAACATGTATCTGGATTTAGTCAAAAGACAATATCAAAGGAGCTATATAATACATAAATTATTTAATTAACTATTTCAAAGTTTCATTTATGGAAAAAGTGCATGTTTGCAAATGATTGTAGATGTGAATGTTAAATTTGATAGTATTGATATTGTAAACCAACTTCAAGCTGCCTTATAACCTTGAAAAGTTTAGCAAATACCTTATGAAACAATTTGTTCAATCTAATCTTTTGTCACAAGGACATGAAAAAGTGCTGATATGTGACACAATGTTTATCTTGAAATTGTCTTAAGATTTGATTTCCTGGTTGTCAGTTGAAATAGGAACACTGAATTTACTGTCCCCGACATAAGGATATATTCTTTTCACTACTTCTGAAACTTGTTTCTAAATAAGTATAATGATGTTATATATTTGTGCTTTTAACTACCTGAATCTTTAAGGTACAAAGATGTTTGGGGCCACTTCCTCTGAAATGTTGGTAAATAAACCCAGAGTATATTCTTATCAAAGTAATTCCTACCTATTTGTTTTGAGCTAAACTTTTTGTTTTTGATGAAAACATTTGCTTTATTTACGTACAATATGATCACTGTGGCAGTACATGAAAAATATAGTGTATGTTTTCAATATCAGTACAAAAATTAACTGAAGAAAATATTTGTATCTAAAAGGCTATAAGCCCTTCATTCTGATTCGATGATATTTAGAGGGTGTTCGTGTTGAAAAGTTGAAAATATTTAAATATTTATTGTACAATCAAAATATTTTGTAGTTTTAAACTTTGCTGTTTGTCCTAGCGCTTGTCAAGATCAACCTTAACCTAGCTAGATATGTAAACATTTTTTCATATCAAATCTTGTCGGAATGTTTGTCTCGTCATGCTGAAGGGTGTAATGATGTAATGGCGATCGCGACCGCCTCTAAACGCAGGTAATTAATGGCGTATCACTATAAACGTTCCTTCTTTTAAGACGAAACAATGTGATCTCAGCATCTCATTCTGCTGAATGACGACATGTGTTACACTATGTCTAGTTAGGCTTGTGTGATTTGTAAAATAGTTTTCATTCAGGGCCAACTGACGAATGAAACGATGTTCTTGAGACATCGGACCAATAAATTGGTCAGGAATCTACACCCAATCAACAGATCACTGCTGACCTACCCACCAATGAGAACAAAGAACAGCAGCGGATCACCTCAGTGCGGGAAAGTCCAATACGTCTGTCACAATCAAACGGATATGTTTATAAGCATATAGACTACAATCCTGCTAAGTATTGAACAGAAAAACAACTTACCAACCGTGTTGTTCGGAAAAAATGTCTTGAGGAAGTAAATATGGCGCTTATTCGTTCAATTGGTTTGACCTATTTATATTTTGCGCTCTGCGCACACTCATAAAGTTACTTACTTCCGGTATTGGATTTCCGGACATTTATCTAACAACATCGGCTTAAAGATGCAGGTAAGATTTCTGTCTGAATACGCTTATCATATGGTAGGATTAATTTGTACATACTTCTTAAGGACCCAGGTACAACCGTTGCTTTTTTTCAACACGGGGAAGAATAACTAATTTCTCGTCCAAAGACGAGACCTTATACAGAGAACGTCCTGTATCGATTCTTCAAACTATGAAATTAAACATTGTCTTCAAAAAAAGGAAATCCAGAACTTTATTGTAGTTAATGTCTGATTGTAATTTGTATTTTGTAGAAAGAAGAGAAACAGCTGGAGCTTGCATTAGATGCACTTATACAGAGAGTGCAGGACTTGAAAAACTCTCTGGTTGCTTTTTTATCCAAGCTGGAAAATGAGTACCAAACAATGAGCTGGTACAAATATTATTTTTAGCTTTCAGTTACATGAACCACGGAATTAGATTGTTATCTAAGTCTTGACTTTTACTTGGTTGTAGCATTCCCCCTTTCACATAAAAAATGAAACGTAGAGTTATTTCCCTTGTCAGGGTATTCCCCTCTCAGGTGTTCAATGTTTGATTGTCCATTTGGCTTATTTGAAGCCCATAAGTTGGAGTCTTTAAGTTTAATGTACATTGTTGTGACTTGAAAAAAGTAATATTTTCAAACTTGATGATACCCTTTTTCTTTAAATCAAATATAAAATCTTAAAAAAAATGCTTTAGACATAATCTTTGCTTAACCTTTATAGTAACTTTAGATTAAGAATACGATAATAGGATAATATTTGAAGTCTTTAACAAATGACAATTTTAACATTTTAAAACATGTTGTAAAACATCATAAATTCTCACTGTTGGATGATGATGTTAATTTGCTGGTTTTCGTTGGTAGGCCTTCAGTACTAGATAACTTTGCCCTATTGTCGGGACAGTTGAATTCCCTTGGAAAGCTTCTGAAGAGTGAAAAGGTGCCAATCCTTAGAAACCAGATCCTGCTGCCCCTGGCCCTGTCCCCAGACAGGGACCAAGAACTTGAGGTCAGTCCACAAGGGCATCAATGTGATAAACTACATTGTAACACTGTGATGCATGCTACAATGTTTTCTCACAATACATGACTTTATATCCAAGTTTTATTTGTCATCACCAAAAGTAATAGTTGACTGTTCTGAAGAGTTGCTCAAAGTCCTATATGGAGATGACGGACTGCTTTCCTTCCTGGTTGCATGATCATACTGGGGTATTAATGTTGACCCCATCCCCTTGAAGGATCTGACATTAAAAAAACGCTATTTGCTGCACGTATAAAACACACAGTTGTGATCTATATCTCTTCTGTTTGTACTCTTTTTGTATGTCTTCCCTGTCTATTTTAGGAACATTGTCTACTCATTGGTGATATATATGGCCTTACTATGTAGATTGTTCGTAAAACTATCTCATGTTATGGGACAGTATTTGTTAGAGCATACAAACTGCATATATATCTGTAGTTGTATCATCCCCATCCCAAAGTTATCATTCTCAGATGAAACAAACACCATTAAACTGTATTCAAACATGTCTTCAGAAACTAACAGAGAGGAGAGTGTTTGCATTCAACCATGAAGTTGTACCAGACTACTTGCGAACCAAGCCAGAACCTGACGTTGAGAAAAAGATCCAGGAGTCCAGTGTCAGAGCCACTATCAACACACCTGATGTTGCTCAGGTAAGTCTAACAGATATCACTATCAACACAACTGATGTTGCTCAGATAAGTCTAACAGATATCACTATCAACACACCTGCTACTGCTCAGGTAAGTCTAACAGATAGACTACTTGCGAACCAAGCCAGAACCTGAAATTGAGAAAAAGATCCAGGAGTCCAGTGTCAGAGCCACTATCAACACACCGGATGTCGCTCAGGTAAGTCTAACAGATATCACTATCAACACACCTGCTGCTGCTCAGGCAAGTCTAACAGATATCACTATCAACACACCTGCTGCTGCTCAGGTAAGTGTTATCAACACACCTGATGTTGCTCAGGTAAGTCTAACAGATATCACTATCAACACACCTGCTGTTGCTCAGGTAAGTCTAACAGATATCACTATCAACACACCTGATGTTGCTCAGGTAAGTCTAACAGATACTCTATCAACACACCTGATGTTGCTCAGGTAAGTCTAACAGATATCACTATCAACACACATGATATTGCTCAGGTAAGTGTTATCAACACACCTGATGCTGCACAGGTAAGTCTTATAGACATTTTCATCAACACACCTGATGCTGCACAGGTAAGTCTTGCAGATTTCATCATCAACACACCTGATGTTGCTCAGGTAAGTCTTGTAGACATCATGATCATTATTAACATACCTGATGTCTTTAACAATTATCTTCATCACAGCTGATGATGCTGAAATGTGACTACTGTACATCACAATCAACATTATATCATTACCAACACAATATGTAAAATAATCTTTAACTTCTACAGACAGAATCTGATATTTCATCAGTCACAGAAACTTCCCTCGGCTCCACTCTGGAATTGAATATGAAAAAAAGCTTTTTTGGGACCAAGAATTATTCTGAACTAAGAAATATTTTATATTGTGTCACAATACTGCAGGTGGGTAAGGGAATCATTTATACCTTATTATATATATATATATCTTGTTGTGTATTTGTAGAAACAACTGAACGCCATGAACAAGGTGACCAGTAATATCCTGGACATCATTAACTCACACAGAGACGACATGGAGAGTGATGCCAGTAAGTGTTAAGTTAATGGTGACACTATCAACTCCAACTTTCAACAAATATCAGGGTAAATTGAGGATTTAATACAGTCAGGAAGGCAAATATCAGTTGTATGTGTGGATATAAAGTTCAAAGGGAGGAAAAACATTTACTTGGATAGAAGATTTTTTCCCCAATCAAGTCAATGATCTGAAAAATTCATGAAAATTACCCTTTATTGTTATGCTATATTGATATATTTAAGGGAAGAGAATTAGCTTTAAAACGCATCCCCTTAAAATGGACATCTGTTTTGCAGACCAGAAGTCGAGCTTGGCTCAGACTTCCTCTATGTCCGACACCAATGCTCTCATAGCGGTCACCATGTTTGGTAAGGGACTCAAGTCACTACGGCGAGACTCCAGCCAATCACAGCCCATTATACAACAACAAACACAACAGCCAAAGACCCAAGGTAAATATATCATGGCCTTACAGCTATATTTTGTGAAAAAATATGTGTTGTCATGCTTAACATTGATTCTTGTTAAACCCAAATATTTTTTAGATAAATTGATGTTCTTCAAGTTTCTCTTGATAGTGGGAGTTATTGTTCTTTTTGTCTGCATTTTCACTGAACAGCAACTATTTAAGCATGGTATTTTATTCATATACATATGTAGTTTCATTTTGGGATTTCATCTGTCTCTGTGTCAGTCCTATGTCCTTCCAACCACACATCTGAATTTCAACAAAAAGGGCTCGATAATATTTTGCTACAACTGAAATAATAAGTGTAGGAAACTATGATGAAGGGAGATAACTTTTGCTGTGTTGTTTGTTTCAGTGAGTACAGGCAAAGCTCCTAGTGCAGTTAAAACCAACATCAAGGCAGCTGCTGGTACACATCCATACCAAAGGCCTTGAGCTCCATACCTGATAAACAGTTACTTTTGTCTGTCCTGATAATCTTAAACAAAACAGTGTTGAAGTAGTCCACGTCTGTACCAACTGCTTTGAAAAAGGAAGTGGAAGCTCACATTTTTTCAGCAGTGACAGTGAACAAGCAAGAGTTTGCTGGTACCTTCACTAGTGACTTTGAACCAGGAACGATTAGTTCACATGATAACATCTTGACCTTGAACAAAGAAAGTTCACCTGCTGCCATGTCAGACACATTGAACAAAGCAAACAATTAATGACTGTTTGTAGCTTTTCTAATTTGGTACACTTATGGAACATATTATGAAACTATCGTGCATTAATATTAGATCTCGGTCTGAATGACAATACCGTTACACACATTTTGGACTGGGGCTGTGCTGTGCTGGGCTAGTATCTGACTGGCTAACATTGATGTCGCACACGAGGTTCATGTTATTTTGTATGCATTTTTTTCGTACATTCAGTCAGATATTGGTGGCATGTAAATTTCACTAAATTGTTGCATTATGGGAAACCTGCCTTTGTTTTTGGGTAAGGATAAGATGACAATGATTACTGAGTCATAGTAGGTTGTAACTTCAATAATTAAGTCACCAAATTGTATATAGTTAAAATATTGACAGGTCATGAAATCCTGTTACATGTATCATAAAAAAAAGTGCTGAAAATATACAGATACTTATGTATGTTCACAAACGGAATACATTGGTTTGGTTGTAGAGAAATTTCTTTCTCCTCTTATATCTTTGTTGGGACATTTTCATGTATGGAGCAGTTTCTAATTTTGATAACGGCCCATTTGTTTTGTGTATGTGCTCCGATCAGTGTAAATGAAGAATTAATGATTGTGTAAGTGTTGTGTACCATTACCGTGGTAATTGGAACCTATCCTTTCTTTGGAGTAGAAAAGAGGTTATATAATACTGAATCTATTCATGTGTTTTGTTATTTTTTACTTCCAAAGTGTTACCCACTTGCTAATTCCAAGAACACAACAGTTCTTTTCGAAATTCCAATGAAATAAGACAAAATCGAAAGTTCATTACATGTACATATTAATCCTCACCACATGCACAGCTGAACAATCTTTGTGATTTTCACAACAAAGGTTAGGCGCTAATATATATATTTAGGAAGTGATGACCTCTTTGACAGTATTGACAAATTTTGCGTAACTGAAAACAAAGAAACGCACAAAAATCTCAAGCAAATGTCACCTTTGTAAAATACTAGCTGCTTCCTACCAACTCCGCTAGGGAGAATTTCTCGAACTCACTCAGCAGAGCATAAGACTAGTAAGCCAGAGGTCCCGGGTTCAACACCCAGCGGATGTATTGAAAAGATAATGACCTGTAATGTTACACAAACAAAAAGCAACCTTGATATCAATGTTTTACTTTTTACACAAACAATGTACGTCTTAAAAATGTCGCAATGTTTCAAGACCGACTGGTCCCTTTGTCATGCTATGACTGAGTGGAGTTAAAAGACTCGGCTGGTGTCCCACTCGTCTCTGTTCATGTTCTGAGTTTTCATGATTTTGATTGCTTCTTTGATTTGTCTCGTTTTCGTGTGTTGTTTCCTTTCAACTATCTTGGCATTGTCCCAATTGACGATTTGATTTTATTGTGCTGTTAACCCCTTGAATATGTCGTACCAAAGGCATGCGGATAGCTATCTGATTGGTCTCGGCTAAAACAAAATTGACTAATCGTTAGCCTGAAACCTGTCCTTTGAAGATTACGGAGTAGCGACACCCGACTTTAAAACCAGCCGTTTTATTATCAATTTTCTTTTTTATATAATCGTTTATGATTGAAGTTAATAGAACACATCACAAAGGACTAAGGGTTCACAACGTGTCCTGATATACGTCCAAAAAACGTGCATGCGGTGATTTCATAAAACTGTTGTCTGCTTTTTGGAAAAACCCTGACATGTTGATTACGTGTCACTATTTTGGTTTCAAGTTTTCATAAAAATATGCTCAGTGGAAATACCCGTATCCTGCAGCTTTTATCTTGTTTAAAGAGAAAGTACATTCATTTATACACCAACGTCATCAGCACACTTCACACGGCTAAATATAGATATCACCTAATCAAGCCAACAGCATCTAACAGGAAATAGCAGATATAGACGCTCAGACAAGACTAGAAATCTTTGAAACATCGACAAGAAATATGTCATGAAAAAAATTCAACACAGGTTAAACCTAAACGTACGTTTCAAATCTAAAAACATATGTGGAGTACAGCGATATCAACCGTTTGTATGACTTAAATTTAATTCAAAATACCAATAAACGTGTGTGAAAAAATCTAACATGTATATTGTTTGACTGAGACGCTAGTGTTGCAGATTTTAATCAAACTAGTGCCATACATTAATAAAATCAAAGTATTCTATTTAATTGTTTTGGTTTTCATTGGTATCTGAGATAATTGTTTACGACACACGGTTTTTGTTTTAGGTTGATCTTGTGGCGTAAAAAGATGACTAATAATATTAAACAACCTATTTGTGAAAAGCACTATGTCGACGCCAAGAGGCAATCATTCTTCACTTTGTTTTTCTAGGAATTGTTTACGGCACACGGTTTTTGTCTCTGCTGGTGGACTATCCGTCCCCAAGGTTTGCAATAACCTGCATCGGTTTAATATTTCTTTTTCAGTGCGTGCCTCCTTATTTCGTATCTCTAGTGGTTATTTTCAGTCACTCTGAACACTGAATATCAGAAACATTTTTGAGGAGACGCTGTTCAAGGTTGATTAAGATCTTCAGAGTATTGAACGCCAAATAAACATATATTCAAATAATGGCACCTATCTTCAAATAATTGAATATAGGTGCAATTCAATTTAAGAAAGGTGCAATTCAATTTAGAAAGGTTCAAGTATGCCGAATTGAACCTATCTTCAATTGAATTGTACCTATATTCAATTATTTGAAGATATGTACAATTAATTGAATATATATTAATTTGGCTTTCCATATTAGAGTTACAACATAAAAACTTTACATCACATTAATTCCATTTTTGCAGTATACATTTTCAGAATGCGACCGTTATCATCATATAATTATTGAAACGTTCATAACAAGCAGCCCTTTGAAGATTTTGAATCCATTACAAACGAGGCAAGTCCGTATTCGGATCGTTAACTCGCATTAGGAAAAGGTACCAAACAGAAGCATTGCTAGGTACTATTTAGTCTTTCGAAAATTTGCAGAATTTCCTTAGTAATCAAGCAAGTGTGGTTCTTTTATGCAAATAAAATATGAAATAGTATCTTCAACCGAGCGTCAATTTCTTAGGTGCTTTGTTAACCAACAATATGAAATACTTGTCATGCAGATGAGTGAAAGTGGTTAGACATTCGGGTAACGAAATACAGATATTTGGTTTTCATTTTGAATTTCATGAAGCTAATTCATGAAGTAATTCTTTTAAGAAAAGTGGCCTAATAGTTTTAACCAGTGTAACGTTTTTCCCAATGACTGGTGCAGTCTTCAATGTAATTCCTTCGTGTTTTGAAATAAGCACACTTGTCATGTGGTAACTGGTAAGAAATGATCGAAGCAAATTCATGATGAAGAAGAGTCTTCACATTCTATATTTTTCAAGTTCAGGAGGGTGTAAAAGATCAACAATAAGTATCCTTTGACATCAGTTATGATAAAAGTGAAGTGTAATTAATGACTAAGCAAGGTAGTCATGGCATAAACACAGAAAATGTCAGTATGCATTCAATATGTATTCGGTGTTTCATCGATAGTTTTGCTATGCGTGTTTTGTATTTCGGTTAAGGGTGACCGTAACTTGTCATCTCTTCAAGTGGTGTACCGATGCCCTCTGTAACTTAATAATATACTGCGCAGTAATATCAGATAGCATTCAAGTGAAAATGAAACTTCAACAGTTCCACGAATCGATAGTAAACATTTCCACAAATCATGACAGGTTATTTTTAGCAAATAGACATACTCAGATGACCACAGTGTTGCCCTGTTTCTCCGTTAGCTCTGATAACGAATTATGAAATACTGAATAGTTGGATGAATGATAATATATTTGTGATGTCAGATGATATCTACAACTGTTTCATCTTATGGTCTATGTAAAACCTCGAATGCATTGTAAAGATTAAACATCATGCATCTTTTTTAAATGTTTAATACGTAGTCTTTTTTAATAANTTAAGCAATTATGTAAAATATTTCCAAACGAAATAGTATTGCAATTTGCTAGTTCAGCCTTTCAGCACCAAGGGAGACGACACCATTGTTTGTGAAAATATATAGATTGAAAGGATAAGACATTTGAGTACTCAAATTCTGTTAAATAGAATAGCAAATGCAATAATATGGTGATTGAAGATATCTAAATGATTATTTTATATCGTTAGTTTGATGAAGAGCGTAAATAGAAATTCATATCAGTTCCTTACTTGCCCATTTAGGTAAATTTCACCTGTAACATGTATAACTCGGCTATAACAAATGACACAAGTATAGGGTTGATATACGTTGTACGTGTAAGTGACGATGTACGTTTAATTTATTCGTTGTTGGCTTGTATGCAGTTAACTAATAATTTGGAAATGAACTATGTATACTGTAAAATAAACTTATAGATAAATCGGTTGTAACGAGATACTGTCTCGTTATAACGAGATAGAATGTCGTTGTTACGAGACAATATCTCGTTTTAACGCGATACTTGGTCGTTAAAACTAGATACTAGCTCGATAAAATGAGATGCTAAGTTGTTACAGCGAGCTAAAAAAAATTCAGATGTCTTCAATCAATCACCGTACAATAAATATTCCTTATTAATGTTTTTTTTTGTCATGTCGCAAATTCTAATTTTGAAATGTTTCTTAACCATCGATCAGCATACATTGCTGTTTGTAGTCTACATTGAAATCTGCCTGTCTAGCAACAAGACCTAAAACATCTGAAGGGTTTTTTCGTCTTCGTGAAGTGTATAGATATAATTGTGTTGTTCATTGTAGTTATTTCATGAATCTTTTCTCTATGCATAAAACTGTCGATTTACCTGTCAGGATTAATGTATGTTGACCATCCTGGTATAAAAACCGAAGACATACAAGAAAACAATATATAATAATTTGTTCTGTTGTTTTGTTGATCAAGATTATCAAATTTGAAAATAAAAAAAAGATTTGACAGTCACAATTTCATTCTAAGGGTCTGTAATCATGTAGCATTTAAATTGGAGAATACGCAGCAATTTCTTCATAATAGATTAGCCAGAATAAGTCCATTCACAGAATCAGAATGATGGCAGGTGATTAGTTCGTGAAGAAGGAACGACCGAAACACGACCGTAGATAAAAAAGAAAATAGCGACAGTTTTAATTCAGCGTTGTATCCCTCGAAACATAATATACTTGATCCAACTATAATATGATGGTATTAAGTCAACTGCAGTAGCTGATGGGGAAACGACTTTTGACACGTACACAAACATAGTAGCATCCCGAATATTAAAAAGGTGGTAACAAAGATTCACCGTTCGGAGATGGCTACGATCAATCCGAAATGGTTGCAACAAACTTGACTTCTAATAACAAAAACTTAAACTAGATAATAATCTCTCCTAAATTACATTTACTTATCAATGAGTCTATAATGTAATACTCTGCATATTGTGCATAACGTTGTGCATTAATCAATAGCTTTTTGACTAGTATTTCATCGTCCGTCATTAAACCAAAAAAGTCCAGATCATCGAGCTGATACTTGAGTGTATACCAGTGCCGTGCCATTCTCGTCCCTGATGTAGATAGTGTAATTTTTGTTCTTCAATATGAGGTCCCCCGGATATAGATGGAGGTCTCGAGAACTCTGTAGTTTTTCCACTTTGTCAGCCTCTTGTGCTGGCATTTCTATTTCGATCACGGCATCAGTTCGCCCTGCAATTTGAGTAAGCGATAAACCATCCCAGTTATTGTTTGCAATCACTATAGCTGGATATTGGGGCCCAAGTAGAGTTAAGTAGGTGCCGCTTCCAAATTTTGCGTCACCTCCGCTCTCAGTTGACCGACGGATGACACCGTCCTGTCTTATAGCCTTAGCACCGTCTACGGTTGTGTGGTGATAGTAGGTGGTAGGACCTACAAGAATAAAACAGACAATTTGTCAATTGTAACATAATGACAAAGGAAGACGTAGATTGGTCCTTTTTCGCTAGCTTAGGTGGCAGGTTTAAAATTTGCCAACGATAACATTGAATTTGCTGGCAATAACATTTAAAGTAGGTGATTTTTGGAAGAAGGAGGAATGTACATATTCCAGCAGATAAAAGGCAAGGAGCAAATCGACGTGGTTGGGACAGAGGATGGAGGGGAATCAGTGCAATAAAACGAAAGCTCCTGCATCAGGTTTAAGATATATTCCTGTGTAAATAAAGATGATTTGGACATGTTTTTCTCTGTTTTTGTTTTCTTTGTAATTTGNTTTCTAATATTTTGAAATTTTAACCATATATGTTAAAAGATTTCGCCCAAACATGACTCTTAACAGGTTGTTGTTTTATTTTCCTCATATGTAAATAAACAAGAATGCTACGAATATCTAATTATAGTACTTATATTATGATGGTGAATGGGTGAGCGTCTATAACATACACTATAACATATCTTAATATTTGTGCTAAGTTTGCTCGCTTGCTTTGAATTACGTCTCCCAAGCTGAATGGGCACTTTCGTGCAGAGAGGAGCAAGCCACCAGCTGAGAACATCCACACAGCTAAAACCTCAGATATCGAGCCGATATGTCAGTTAAATGATGGGTCATCTAGTAACTACGTAAAGTCAAAAACTTATTATCCTTACCTTTGGACACACCCGGATAGAAAGCCATCATGCTGCTGTCCAAACTATAAGCGAAAAAGTGACGATAAACTAGTCGTTGTCCACTTGATCTGTGTATGCTTTGAAGAAAAAATGGATATTCTACAAATAACACTTAATGATAAAAGTTAAACTTAGATAGTTCCACGAATCGAAAGTGAAAATTTTCAAAAAACTGAACAGGTTATTTATAGCATATATGCATATCTTTATCATAAAGTAATAACAGCATTTACCTGTTACACGGTTTATCTCCGATAACGAATTATCAAACATTAAATGGATGAATGATAATATATTTGTGATGTCAGACGATATATACAATTGTTTTATCTTTTGGTATATGAGAAAAACTTGTTGCTTAAGCGAAAAAATCGCTGCACTTCCAGCCAATCACGCCAAGGGTCTCGATACGCAGCTGACGTCAACCTCATTAGTATTCAAAAAAGTGCACATATATGGCTGACTGCGAAAAACTTTGAAACTCTGAAATGGCGTGTTTCTGGAGGAAACGGAGTTCATGTCCGCGGAAGGAGAATACATTTTACGTGCATGTAGGAGGTTTAACTTTTTAAAAAGAAACTATCCATCTTTCCAACGGTACTAAGCATTTGCCGTAGATCAACTAGAAATGCTGTTTTTGATGCAAGAGAGTTAAATTAGGTGGGGTCGACATTTCGACATCGAGAGCTACATTTCTAATCTACATCTACATAGTAATGACCACATTCATCTATTTGAAGATCATGTCATGTGATCGTTGGGTGCTAGGCCAAGAGAAGAGAAGATTAAAGATAATGAAAGGGAATGTTTATAAAGTATGGGAGTTAGATTTGTTTGTTGTTAAGAGACGGTTTGAAGCAGTCGGTGGATATCAATTAAATTGCAAGACGACAATTCTCTTTTAGTATGCCAAACTGCGGTGTTGTCAGTTGTCTGTCAATATATTCTTCAAACTTCTTATGAATCCCCTGAATGGAATTTCACCAAGTTTTACTGGAAATGTCCTAATGTGGTGACTAGAAGGGGTATGTAATTTGGCCCACAGGCACCTGAGAATTGGGTACTGCTATATTCGGACTAAACTAAGATGTTCAGAGTAATTTGACACGTTTTAGGGGTTTAGGTCAATTTGAGGTAAAATGACACTGTCCCCCAATGATGGTATTTACCGACGTCTCAAATTTTTCTAAAAATCATTGCTTAGATCCAAATATAGCTTAAAAATTCCCAGGTCCCTGTGACATTGCCATTTGTTTTAAGCTACTTCTCTGGAACTATGAGGTGTATATTAACCACAATTCAATGGAAGGGCTCTCCGGCTGATGAAATTCATAATTGGACGAAAATGGAAAAAACAATTACAAACAATTTAAATGGCAGAAAGTTACTTTTGGGAGGGATAGAAAAAAAAGATATCGTATCTCTCAATTTTTGCGAACACTGGGTAAACCGCATTGCTGTTTTATATTTACACACTAACAGCCTCACATGATAGAATACATATAAGCATATAGCTTTGACTTTCGTATTGCTGTGAAATGCCAATTTATTGACATAAATTTGGCCCAGGCGTCGCATGGAAAGTCGTGACAGTGACGGGAAAATCTGCATGCTGTATGACGTAATAATTCCATCATTTCCACCACAGGCCACAATTAATGATGTGCAGGGCACGTTCAGCTTACCAATCTCTCGACAAAGAGGTTCAATAATGTCATGCATTTCTTTAGGACTGGCCGGGGACTCTCTCTTCTCAAACCTACGGGATGGGTAAGAGAAATCTGTCTCTCTCATTCCTGTGCGTATTTCTCGCAATTGTCCGGGGAAAGAAATATATATCGTACACCCCAGTTCACGTGCATGACATCAAACCGATGCCGCAATGCGGAATCGTAATTCCTTTCTGCACCTCATTTTTTCAATTAATTCCAGCATAGACGTATATATTATATTGTAATATATACGTCTCTGATTTTAGATATTATTATGTGCATTGCTTATACTTTTTCGCAAAACTCGCATCAAGGGTTGTATGCATAGTATAAGTCATATAAAAACAGTAGAACACGAATCCCTTTCCATGTGAATGGCACGGAAATATCAGTGTGAAAATTCGTATGCACTTTTTTTAGATTCCATTTGCTTTACCAGCATAAGTGTACAGTAATACCAGAGATATACAAACACATAGATGTTATGTATCTATAGATAAACATGCAGTATAAACATTTCAATGCAAGTAATTTCTTTCGATAATTTTCGATAATAGGCGTAGACTGATGGTAAATACCAAAAACTAGCTTTGCTGGTTCAGGGGAAACAACTCTTACAACATTTAACGTCGTTATCAGCGACTCCTACCCAGCAAACTGTCTGACTCACTTTATCTAAGTTTAGTAAAAAAATATTTAATAAAAATTTCATTTTTTGAGAATTTGAGGTAGTTTTTTGTATTACGTTTGCCAGTTACACACACATTCATCTGCGGGTTTTATACGGAAATTTTTCAATTTTATTTTCTATTCGGCTTTCATGGGGTATCTAAACTATGTCCATTGGGGTTTTGTTGAAGGGAAGAATAGTATTCATTACAAGAATTTTGGTAACACTTTATTGCTAGCTTACTATCTAGACAGTTTAATTACTAATGTATGCCAGATAAAGAGTCTAATATATATGCATGGCATTCAAAACGCAATAGACCTCAAATTTTGTCCTAAATGATAATTTTAATTCCCTACATCAGAGACGTAATATATACCCCTCTACCTACACGCACACCAGAGATATCTTTTAAAACAAGATTTTGTTAAAACTTATTTTTAAGTCGAAGATCTAGAATTCTGAGTCCTTGTAACACGTAATTTACTGTACACGGGAACAGAGACGTATTATACGTCTCTGACGGGAGGTAAAGTAAGTCAAAGTTTTAAAAGTATCCTTAACTTTGTAGAATTCATACCACAGTCGAAAAAGGTCTGTATATTGAGGTGATGGTGCTGCTCGCATTGCTTAGAACCACGGGTCCGACTGTCTCATCTGACATGCTTCACTGATCCGTCGTATATATATATAATAACATTTCCTCCTAAACTCTGTTAATGGCCATTTGTATATAATACACACACACCTCCCCGGTCAAACTTCCATGAGATATTCAGTATTCGTTAGATTATCTATCAAAGGTCAACATCTTAAATGTACAACCAACAACTCAAACTTAATAGATCAGGTCAAGCTTTTGTGAGACACATTTGTTACACGTTCCATGTGACCGGTTGAGGTGGATCACCATCTTAAAGGTAAAAATGTACAACCACGGAATTAGATTAGATTATCTAAGTCCGTGGTACAACCAAACACACAATTAACTGTTCGATATGTCCTTGTTAAACCTTCCAACGGATGCACGTTACTGTCCAAAATTGAGGTCGGGTCAGGATTTCAGAGTCACGTGTAATGGGGACAATTACATAATTATATTTAACAAATAATGTGTACCCATGTCATATTTTTTTGCGTATCAGCCCTGTGATTGGTTGTAAGTTTCAATTGTTTTAATTGTGACGTCACAGACTTACGCGCTGGAGTTCAAATTGCGACTTTTTACATTTCAAGGTTGCATGAAAATTGTCGTTTTACACGACGAATATACATGCCACAAAACTTGATTATATGATAAAAAGGATCTTACATTCGTTTTCATTTCATATGAAATACATGAAACTCGATCGTCACGAATTTTTCATTTAGCTTGCCAGAGGCTCGCTAAATTGAAAAATTCTTAGACTCATTTCTTAAAAAATCATATGATAGAGAAGCTCATGTAACGTTAAGTTTGATTTTAAAGAAAAATCAATTTTCAGTTTCCCTGTTTGAGCTTATAAATACGATTCCAAAAATATTTGTATCCAACAAAGATAAAAAAAACACACACACAAAAAGATATTTCGAAGTTGGTAAAGTAAATAAAACATCATATATGTTTTGTATGCCCACATTTAATTTCGATAGGCAGAGTTATATTTCTAATGTGTGCTAACCACAATGAAGACAATTCAACGCCAATTTAGAGGATTTGACTCAATGTTGCTAAAATCGTTACTGTCTTTTTAAAATATAATTTGTACATCTCTGGTTTCACAAAAAGAAAAGCACTACAATACTTAAATTACATCAAATCAGCGTTAGTACATCTTTAATATATATTTAAGTAAGGAAAATAGTGAAATGCAATCTTCATGCTGGTAGCATAGTTTTCCCTTATGCGCCCCGTGCCTACATGAATAATTACCCCGCTGGAACCTCAGCTAACGATTGTCACGTGGTCAACAAGTGGTTCGTTACTTTTTCGCTTACTTTGATTGGGACAGCGCGCAGAACTGCAGCAAGATGGCTCATCGGTATGACCAGGATGACAAACCCAAAGGTAAGGATAAATGCACATTGAGTCAATATATAATTGTGTTTTCGCCTGTTGGTTAAAATGAAAAGTTGAATCTCGTAGACATCTAATGATCTTGACACTGACAGTCGTTCCCGCGGTTTGTCATCAAATCGTGCGAATCATGCTGCAATCATTGGCGTTTTGTTTGTCCAGTCGCTGCACTCGATATATATATAGCCTATAGATATTGCCAGCTCACTTAATTGGTGTGGTTTTAGCATATTGTTAATAGTGACAGAACTGCTTTACGTTAAAAAGGTTTTGATACTATTTTGACCGCAGTCAAATGTTCAACGGCAATCGTGACGGACGACACGCCGCGGAGGCGAGCCCTTGGTCAAGTTAAAACAGTAAATAACAGCAACACTTTTTTATCCTGTGTTTATACACATTCTAAAGCATTATAAAAATTGAGGGTTTCGAGGTATTTAAAAAAGTAACCTCGGTACCTTCAATTTTTACAAGGCTTTATTTAGAATGTGTAATATTTATTTACTGGCGTGTAACGCGTTATGGGTTTATTATTAACTAAAAGTGTCCCGAGACCGAGCCCCTATGCCCTGGGTTTCTTTGCCTGGACCCTGGGGCGGCTATCATGCGGCCACCTAGCTCGCGTTCGTGAATGGCAACAGGGCCTTACAAGTGACGTAATGTGTTATGTTCTTTGATGGCCCATCATTCAACTCGCCGATGTCGGCTATCGGTAGTGTCCCGCTGTGTCGGTTTCCCCAGCTGTTGACTTCTCTAGATCTACAGTAGATCTTCTGTGTACCAAATTACATTGTCCATATACAATTGGGAGAGTTGTAAATCACAACAAGTGAGCAATGGTCATAAGGCCTATTATAACTCCCATTCTCAGATATTGCATAATTAAATAGCATAATAGCTGTTAGTCACATTGTCTCAATATAGGTACACGGTCAGATAATTAAAATCAAATTTGTGAATATAATCTATTTATGGTTTGAAACTTTACCACAGGGTTGTAAACTTAACTTGTGTATTTGAAATGATAGTTCCCATTTACCAGAGTGAACATTAATAACAATTTTGGATCAATTGGCAATATAAAAAGGTTGATTTTATGTCATTCTCATTATTTTCCCAGGTCCAGTACCAATTATATTATTAAAACTGTAATTTCAAAGATATTGTTTTAATAACATGTGATGCTAAAATCTTTCACCTTCTGTACCAGTGCACGTGGAGGATCTTTGGGGAAATTGGACCCAATAAATGGAGGGTGTGTACCCACACCACACACTTTTAGAGCTAACGGAAAATAAAGGTCAATCTTAAAAAGCTTACTTCTTTGTTAATTCTGTACAAATGGAGGGATTTTAACCAAATTTGTTTTAGAGTGTCTTTGGGCAAAGGGGTTTCAATTTTGGATAAACAGTGGGTGTAGCTTGTAGCCCCTATACTATTTATTTCTTTCTTTCTTTCCAATTCAACAGACCCAAGGGTCCACTTACAGAATGGATAACAGCAATACAACACATGTATAAAATATCGCAGTCAGTTATGCATGTAACACAGAATAAAATATACTCCTATGTAAAACAAAAGGAATCAGTGATAGAAAATATTCTTTAACAGTACAATACACTTTGAACTGTGCGAGAGAGGAACAAAACATATCACAGTCTGGTGCAAAATCAAGATAGTAAAAATTACATTGAATCCTGTTTAAAATGTCTATACTTTCTAACGTTTATAAATTCTACTTCTCTGGCAGTAAAACTGGTTGAAACGAAATGATCGTAGATTATGACCAGGGACTAAAGACACATTTGCTTGCAAAAATATGGGCAATCAAAAGCACTATTAACACATTTGTAAAGAAATACACAGTCTAAAAATGCCAGCCTATGTTTAATTTGAGGGTAGGAAGATTTGAATGCCTCCAAGTGTCGGCGTAAGACATGGAATTGTAGTCAACGTGTGCCTTAAAACATATGAGTTTCAAAAAATTGCACTGACAACTTTGACCTGGTGAATTAAAGATGTTTGATAAGGAGACCAGATCTGACAACAGTATTCTAACTGACTCCTGAAAAGACTTGTATATAAAGACCTTAAAACAGGTATTTGTGTAAAACTTTTACATGGACATTTTATAAAACCGAGCATTTGCATTAATTTGGAAACAGAACGTCTTATGTGAGTACTAAAACTCATTGAAGAGGTCAGCCAAACACCAAGATCTTTCACACGCGTTTCTTTCTTCAGGTTCTCACCTCTCATAGTGTAATTAAAATTCATTTTTCCTCGCAGTGGACCAATCATATACTTTATCTATATCGCTCTGTAGCTGCTCACACTCGGGCGGTGTTCTTACACACTTATTTTTTTTTTTACTGTTATCGGCTAACAAGAGTTTTAGAAAAATTTACAATAGATGACAGTTCATTGATAAAAACATGTAA